CACTGTTTTATCTCAAGCAAGTAGAGAGAAGGAGAACACTTATGTCATGCTATACTTCCACCGTTCTAAGCGGGTAATAAAATCGAACTCCTGAAACATGCTCATATTTCTATCCTTCACATGCTTTTAGAGTGAATGCTTCAAAATATATGAAAGCAAAGAAAATTAGCATGCTGTATCATCCAACAGAGCCAAGCTCAAAGGCTCGGCAGAGAGGAAAACCGAAAGGAAACAGGGCACCGAAGAAGAGGGGGGAAGAAGGGGTACCTCTTTAATGCCAATGTAAAAGCACTGCAACACAAGAATTTACCTCAAAGAAATTCTCTCACAGAAATTCCCTTTCCAATCTCCTCACAGCCAAAATTTTTACTCTCCTCTTAGAAAACTTTTTCTCAACAACCCAAAAATCTGAAAAGAAACTATGCTTATATAGACAGAGAAGAGAGGGGAAGAGACAGAAGGTCACCCCTTGAACCCACGGCACTCAAATCGGGCCAAAGAAGAAAAGGACGCGCTCCCTGCCCACAGAAGGCAATGCTACCGAAACATCTCGGACCGAGCGGCAAGCCCAGTGGCAGCGAGGAAAGTATCAGGAAGAAAAGAGCGTTTGCCATTCAAGTGTACCAGGGAACAAACTTCCCAAAGTCAAACTACCACGAAAAGGAAAACCATAGCTCGGGGAGACTGGCACGGCTTCCGGAAGGAGGGCCGCGGCAGAAGGTGTCGGGCAAGGACGGATGAGAAGTCAACTTTCTCTCACGTGGAGGAGGAAGAGCTCGCTCGGCTCGAGACCGAGAAAGGGAAAGGCCAGGCGCGCGAACAGGAGAAGGAAGGGAGGCAGAGCTCGGGCGCGGAGAGTGGGGATTTAGGGCTTAAAGAGGAAATAAAAAGATAATCTGGTTTATATAAATTAATGTATATGTATATATATATATATATTAATTTATATGCGATCTATTCACGCGCGGCGTCGTAACAAAATGGGTGTCCTCCCTCATTCACGCGCGGCGTCATAACAAAATGGATGTCCTCCCCAGGCAAAATTGACTTTCCGGACGCGCCAGAGCAGTCTATTTTGTCATCCGGGGTCGCTCGGAGGACGTCGTCGACAATCGGGTCAAAAATGCGTCAAAATTCAAATCTCACAAAAATTTGACCCGCGATCGATCGTCTCAAAAAGTTTATTCGAGTCTTCGACAGGTAACGGTGCAAGCGATGCGAATTGTGGCGATCAGACGTGTCGACTCCGAATTGCGAAGTTTGTGCGCGCGGGAGTGCGAATTGTGCAGAAAGCCACCCTAAGGCTCAAAAAGATCCTATAGGAATTTCTTTCGGGTTTCCTCATGTCGGTTTCATCCTTCTAAGTGCTAGAAGTCGATACCACACACGCGAAACTCCAAAAGGGTACAGAAGCGGGTTGAATTTCTAAAACGAGGCGGGTCCCATTTCTAAGGTTCTAAGATAGTCAAAGGGAGATCTCTAAGGCTAGATTCTAAATCCTAAGAGGAGGACTAGACCTCACCAAAAATGAGGTCAACAGTTATTAAATAACATGAACTGGTCTATCATTTTTTGTACTAACACTAAGCATGCAAGCACAAAGACAGCAGGATAATCATATGTGCTACAAGTATTTACGCACCATCTTCAAAACCAGTTTCCACCCACAAAATCTTGAATAAATTAAAATAAAGGTATAAAACTACTACATATGAAAAAAGAAATTATTGTATGAGGAAACTTTAGAAATACAACATGTCATATCATGAACACTACTGAATGGTTAAATTACCTGCAGCCCTTCGAGCAAGAGCATAAGAATCATGCATTTGGTAGACCCACTCAGGCCAGAAAGACAATGAGGCCCTTGGAATCCGTCTTGAACCATCAATGGTTCCACAATTTATGCCACTAGCTTTTTCAACTGTTGTTGATTCTTTTGTCAAATCCAAGTCAGGCCTATAATGCTCCCCCACATTGCCAAACCTGTAATTCTGTCCTAACCGATGAGATTTACTCCTATGAGATTTTCTTGTGAGCTTACCATGTATGTATGAGAATTCTTCATCACTGCTGGAACATTCTCGAATTCTCTCATATCCACCAAAGGAATCATATCCTGACAAACAAAATTTCAACTCCATATCTGAATGATCACTACCATTGCTTGTACCGGACATACATTCCCAGTCATTATCAGTTAGCATTTTATTATGTAACTGCAAAGGGGAAAAGCCTGACACCTTTGCAGAAGGGTGGTGACGTTTCCTAAAGTCAGTTACAGAAGCTAACTGTGCAATGGCATCCTTTGGTGTTTTTAGAGGAGTATCTTCCTTAATGATCTGGACTTCAGCACATGGCTATTGAGAAATATGCAAGAACCATTAGCGTCCCATCATCTCAACAAATGGCCACAATGTTTAACATAATATATATCTCACCACTCCTTCCACATCTATCCAAGAGCGTCTCAGGCGAAACCGCTGCTGACCACGAGCAACCACGTTCAAAGAACCATCATCTAAGCGGCGGTATTGTCTTATCTAGAAAATTACACTGCAAATATTCAGTTAGGTTAAAAAATGAAACAATCATAACGTAATTAACGGGAACCACTCTCCCTTAACTACTGCATTTTGGCGTGCACTCATTTTGATGAACAGAATGGATCAAGTGAACAAAGCATCTATCTTTGACATTCAAAAAAACATGTTCATGAGCAAATTATGGACCGGATAAATTCGTAATGATTCTCACATTGGGTCACTCTGAATATTTTGCTAAACCTGTGAAGGTAGAAAATGTAAAAGCATGGTAGTTTAGCAACGTAAGTATCTTCAATAATTTCTACAATGCAAGAAGGATTGCCACAGGCCAGATAGAGGCCTGCACTTTAGCACCTCAGTGCCGTAGAAAAGTGCATGGAACTACACAGCAACACCAAACACATATTATACAAAGCTAGTTATATTTACAATAACTACAGCAAAGTTCATGGATTATTTCTAGTAAGATAGCTCTTCCTAAAATCATGGTGCTGGATTTAGCAAGAGATCAACTACTCGATATCAAAGTGCCTAGGCATGCATTTTTTAAATCAGTTGATTCAGCCATTAGATGAGCAAGAGCTGCAATGTTTTGGGGAGTTCTGACAGACTGCTCAAATCAATGCTCATGGTACTCGATGCACTCAAGCAAGAAGAGCAGCAAAAGCTGCTTTTCTGATCAGGTAAGTAAAAAAAGTAGCACTGTCACGAGCCCAAACCCAGCAAGTTTGTAGCGCGACGATGAATGGCATGGCATCATGCATGAATCACTGCTTCAAAAAGGCCATTATGAATAGTTTGGATCAAAACCCATATAAAAAATAAATACAAAACTGACTGAATACTTCTGACAGCAAAAATGGAAAAGAAAATAAAAGTACTGGAATCTAATAGAGAAATCCAGGGATAGAAGAGGATCCAAGTATGTTTACCCAGCACAATCAGAGAGTCATGCGAAGAAATGAAGTTAAAATTTAACACAAGAAAAATAGGAGAGAAATACTGTCTTTGACATGCAAAAGAAGAGAAGAGCAAACTGAGGCAGAGTAGAATTGGGGGAGAAATGAGATTAAGATATAGTTCAATTGAAAGGAAAAATTAAAGAAGATTAGACAAAAAAAAAAAAAAAAAATGGGGGGAAAAAGAAGATTCATGGATGAACAATAGATAGTGCAAACAGGAAAACTGATCATGAGCACTTATTGTGCCTAGAATTAAAATTAATTTAAATATAATTAAGATAAAAATCTTATGTTTATGTAAAGTTCAACTCAACTTTACAAAACCAAGTCTGAAAGCTGACCAAGTTTCTAAATGAACAGTATCGATAAGAAGCAATCTAACTGACAACTTTCACTGGATGATATGAACTATGTTAGAACTAATAGTGGTGATTAATTAATTCGGAAATAGGACAAACTCATGCAAGCACAGAGAAGGAAAAAAAGAAGAAAATAAAAAATAAAAAAAAGGAACAATGCACAAAATACAAAGGAATTTTATAAAAGTTAAACCTAATAAATAGCAATGTCCTATTGCCATTCCTATGGATTTCACTATGATTGATTGTGGAGATTATTGCCCTAATTTCAAAAAGATGCATAGAAAAGTAACCTGTGAACCACAACTAAGTTTTTATAGCATTTTTTTTTGTGAGGAAAAAATTAGGCTCTAAAAGTTAACAGTATCACACTTGATGACTAATCTATCATCACATCTCCACTGCACATATAATAAGTCCCCAGTCTTAGTGAATAAGTTCAGTTGTGTGGGCTCCAAAAATTTTGACCGCTCCCTAGAGACTCTGCATTTATTTTATTTTTGATTTGTTGAAGACGGGCTGAATTATAGATAAGACATTATCTAGAGATTTTGCCCTCATTTTGTGAGGAATTTTTTATCTAGGGTTCGAGGATTCAAACAGGCGCTAGCCCAAATGATTAAATCCCCCTCCCAATAACGGTAAAACACTTTTAATTAAGGCAATTCATTAATAATTCAATGTTCACCATATAATGGTAGCAGACTTAGAATTTTAAATTGTAAAATTTATCACTTGAAGCTTAAAATGGATGGTGGGGGAATGAAGACGAAACACAATCAAGATCCTATGATTCTGTCATCTCGGGACGTCATGGTCTTTAATCTTCTTAGTCAAAGTAGATAGTCGACCAAACAATAACAACAACAACAACAACAAAGCCTTAATCCCACTACGTGGGGTCGGCTACATGAATCCTTTTTCTCCATTGCGTCCTATTTAGTGTCATATTTTCATTTAGTTCTAGTAAATTAAGATCATTTTTAATACAATAAGCCCAAGTCTTCCTAGGTCTACCTCTGCCTTTCTTAACACAAGTCGAATTTAAAACATCTACTCTCCTAATCGGATCATCTAATGGTCGACGTTTAATATGACCAAACCATCTAAGACGACTTTCTCTAATTTTGTCTGTCACAGGAGCTACACCAACCCTATCACGAATATATTCATTCCACATTTTGTCTCTAAGTGTAAAGGTAAAGCCACTCATCCACCTAATCATTCTCATCTCGGCAACACAACTTATTATTATGCTTCTCTTTTAAAGGCCAAGATTCAGCGCCATAGAGCATTGCAGGTCTTATCACCGTCTTATAAAATTTTCCTTTCAGTCTTAGCGGTACATGTAGTCGACCCAACCAGACAGAAAAATTCTTATCAGCAGCCATGAGAGATCCTTGTAAATCTTGGGTGGATAATTATCTAAAAGGATAAATTTAAGTTGACCTTAGCTAACAAACGGCTTTGTGTCAATCAATTGTACCCTTATGATTCACAACTCAAATGGTAGAAAGTTATTGAAAAACATACGGGTTGCGGTCGTGACCGCAATATAATGGTGCTATTTGGCGATAATCAACCGGTCAAAAGGCTTTGATCGTAACCGTTATTTTGTGGGGTAATTTGACTGTGAAATCACGCGGGCAGAATACTAGGGCTACAACTTGATTGGCATGTGATTACTTTGATTGTGAATATAGAGATACATTTAATATGACAATAGCCCTTTATGAGCTGAAGTCAATCAGAAATTTGTCACCCTCGACAAACTATTGTGAAGAGCGAATGAATTTTGTTTTTAGCTTTAAAGTGATTGAATTTACTTAAATATTAATTGATTATTTTGAAAATCTTGATTTAAAAAAGTGACCGCTCCGGTTAAAATATTCTATCAACTCGGCTATCATCGGGGAGTTAAGTATTTTAAGACTTACATTTGAAGGGAGGTATTTAGATTTTTAGAGTATGAGTTCTGATGACCCTGTCTTTACAAGGAGGAGGATTGAACCAGATGATTTAGACTTGTAAATTTTTATCTTAAGTTTTAGATGTTTATTTTGAAGTTATTAGACTCATCAACTCCAGTCATTGTAAGGAGAAGGATCAGACAAGTTGGGCGGGACTTAAAACTCCATCTTAAAGACAAGACAACCTGATTAGCGAGCACAACATTCTCGAACCTAATATTTGAGCATTCTATATATTTGCTGGAGCATATGCAGGCTTTAATTTCATTGATTTTAGTAACTTCAAGAATTTGGAGACTTTGAAGACTTGTGTAACCTTTAAACTATAGTTAGGATTTACAATTTATGTCTAGAGATTTTCAAATCATGTATATGACTTTTATCTATATGAATCTCTTAAGGCATAAACAATTTAGAGAGTACAAACTAAGTCTAAAAATATTTTCCTATATTCCAAATTATTGACATAAAGCTTATATAAACTTTAAATACTTTAGCTATTTTGAAACTATAAGTTTTTTATTTAGAAATTATCGCATGTAATGTTACACCTTCGGGCTTTAATGGGGACCGCCTTCTGTTCGTTATTAGGTGTATTGTGAATTTGGTGGCAGTGATGATTAATTTCAAATTTTAAGGAAACTCCATATTTGAATTACTCTTCGCCAATATGAGCCTAAATTCAAAAAATTCAAGTTTGAATTGATTTCCAATCTCCAGGAACCTAAGTATGAATAGCTCAATTTCAAAATATTTTTAAGTATTCCGAGCTTAAATTTTAAATTCCAGTTTTAATATTTTTTCAGCCTTGAAAGTTTATGTTTTAAAAGTCACAACTTTAAAACTTATAAAATCTTATGAGTCTAAATATTTAAAAACCAGGTCCCATATATTTTAAACCCTAAAAGCCTAAATTATAAAATCTTGAATTTCAAAATTACTTAAAAACTCAAATGATTCATATTCTATTTTATTTCTTAAGTTCGAAAATTCCAAAATTTTAACTTATTTACAAGTCCAAATGTAAATTTTAAGGGATACAGGAAATGCCAACTCCAGTTTAGGGGATACAAAAGAATGTCAGCCTTACCAATTGCCTTAAAAGACGCACACGTCAGTTTCATGAGACACTCTGAGGAGCAAAAATATAAATTTAACCCAAGATCTTAAGAACGCAGCAACAACCTTCAATGTATTTGCACAAAAGGTTAGATCGCAACCAGCATTTCCCGAACGGTACTCGATTTTCCCTCGGATGGATGTTTTAAAATCCTAATTTTAAAAGGTTTTCCAAATGAGTATTGTCACATGATTCCTTGAATTAGGCTAGATGTTGTTTGGGATCGTCATGGTCATTAAAAGTTTTAAATTTGGGTATTGAATAGCCCTTTGGATAAGGGACTTCATCATACTCAACTGAATAAGGGCAGCCTTTACTCACCAGCTTCTCAGCCAATTCTAAGGCTATTAAAGCCTTGATCTTTTCATTGATCAATGTTTCGAGCTACACCGTTGTCACAAACTTGGATGTATTGACAATATTTTGAGTTATAGGTTGACGGGTCACCTGATTCATCTCATTTCTCTCTATAGAGATGCCTCATACATCTGAAGTTTGTGGCACTGGTTTGATAGCGGAGTTAGCAGCAACGCTGCTAGGTGCTTGATGGTTGTTTGGCACGACAAATGTAAGGACTGTCGGAGCA